GTTGATTTTTTGTGGGTCTCTTGGAGAAATAAAATGTCGGGGTGCAATTTGGCTAATGAAGTTGATATACGCTTAACTTTAATATTATCGTTCAGACCCCTACAGTTCAAAGAATATATTCGTAATGGGTCTCCCATTATCTAATGGCGAGGTTGAAGATTAACTTTCCTGATATTGCTATAAATATAATAGAGCTGAAAGCTTGTGGGCCTGGAAAATTCAGGCTCACTATGGTTATAGTAGTTTTAATATTTTATATCAAGGGATGCAAGGGGGGGAGTAAAGAATTGTCCTCCTACCACCTCACCCTCTATTTTAACAATTACAATTCATTTCATCAAGCAACCTTCTATTTTTGCAGGCTTAAAATAAAAAAAATGCCTTTTATACCCAAAATGGCAAAGTTATCAATTTAGGCAAAATTTCTGCACCATTGTTATAACAAGTTCAACTATAAATACTTCTTTTTATAGACGCAGAAACCGTAGGCTTATACTTAAGCCGTTTAATGAAATTAAGCCATTTAACCAAATTCTAATAATAAAAAAAGGGGGGGGAATGCCAAATAATAACAGGAAAAAAAGTTCTTCAAACAATAACAGAAATAAAAGTTCTTCAACTTAGGTTTTCTTCACCATTGCTTTAAATGATATAACATAAAAATAATACTTTTAGCATATACAAGAACCATATCTTGGATAAGTTAGCTGCACTTATACCACTTTCAAAACTAATTGTAACTTAAGTCGGTTTGCATCACCAGTTCTATATAAATATTTCTATATTACGATTTTCTTTCGGAAAATTATTCTTTTAAAACAAAAAGAAAACATTAAAATAAAACTTAAAAAGATATATATCTATAAATGAAATCAAATGGATTATTTTTAAATAAAAAAAATTAAAGAAAATAAAAAAGTCATTAACTTAAGTAGGTTTTCTTCACCGCTGCACTAATGAATTCTTCATAAAATGTTGTTTTAGACTTGTGCAACAAAAGGCCTTAAGGGTGAATTAATATAGCATTTTCATACTCTTTAAATTTAAATGTTTACAGTTATATAAAAATAAAAATAATAATAGTAAAAAATTATTAAAGATATGGAATGATATCAAGAGTAACAAATAAAATGGGTTAGCTGCACCTTAAAATGTTAATATAATAAGATCAATTGGGAAATCAAATCTGAACACAGAATATAAATGTACTTCCTCCTCGCAGGATTTAATATAGAATACATAAATCAAGCAATTTAATGTCACTGTTCTAACTTAGGAGAAAGAAAAGCCCCGAAAGTATTTTAAAATACTCAGACGTTCGTTCACTTCTCCGGGAAAACGCGAACATGCACCAGAATTCAGGGCGCTGTGTGTGGGGGGATCAGCGATGAATGCGTTGCCAACGGCCATTGATGAGAGGCCCAGTCGATTCACCAGTGGAGCGATTGTTCAGCTGCGGCGATGAGTGGGGTAGGTCCGGGTCAATGCCCAAGGATGTTAGTAGTTTGACTCCAGAGTCTAGGTCGTTGGCCGTCAATCGTTGACCTTGGTGGATAATTAGGATTTCAGTGGGGGAGGACCACCGATAACGAAGCTTGCGGTCCTGCAGCTTTTGAGTTATGGGCCGGAGCTGTCGTCTATGGTTCAGTGTCTCTTGAGAGAGATCTAGTAGAACCGCGATTTTCTCGTTGCGGAAGGTAAGTCCTCTGTTTTCCCTCGCCAGTTTAAGGATGCGGTCCCTTGTCCGGCTGTCGGGGAAGCTTGCTAGGATATCCCGAGGATATTTAGCGTTTTTACGTAAGGCAGGGCCGACACGGTAGGCCTTGTCTATGTAAGGGGCCACATCGTCCTCTAGGTGCAAAAGTCGTGCTAGCCACGAAGCGATAAAAGTTTTAAGCTCTGTCTCACCTTCTGCTTCTTCGGGCACGTTGCGGAATTTCAGATTGGGTTCCCGAAGTTTATTTTCAAGTGTCATTATTTTAGATGCAGCCCAGTCTTCTGACTGTTGCAGGCTTTGTATTTCGCCTTGGGCCGTAATTGCCGCTTCCAGGGCCGTTTCTGCTGCTTGTGAAACTTCTGCGAGCGTATCAGTAATGCTTTTCAGCTCATCTTTGATCGGTTGGACTGCTTGCTTAATTTGCTCCGAAATGGAGGTTTCCAAGCGCTGGATTGTTTGTAGGAAGTCGTACTTCGATAGAAGTGCTCCGTCGTCATTAGTTTTTGGCGAATTGCTGCCGGCGGCCATTTTGAGGTCCCGTTCTACTGCAGGATCGGTTGATCTCGGCGCTGGATCTTTTGCCAAATATTTCGTCAACTGCTGAGTTTTGGCCGCGATTTTGGCCGCTCTGAGTGTTCCCGTTCTTCCCATTTGATTTTCTGGCACAGTAACGTTGTTTTTGAAGGTTGGTGATATAATTTTAGAGGGCTGAGTGGAGGAGCTGCTCCTTTACACGTCTACCATCTCCGAGCGCCAAGCTCCGCCCCCCGACAAGAGCTCGTGACATTTGTTGTAGAAATTCTAATGGAGAAGATTGTAGTGTAAGAAATGAAGTGAGACATACATACTTTTTTCTCTCTATACTGAAGAACCTCTCTCTAGACCACATTGGTGGTTCTGCCCTCAGGTGATAGGATCACCAGGCTGCTTGATGAGCTCACTCAGGAGCAGGTCACATAAAACTGTCCATTTAAGAAGCAGTCGTCTGTTAAGTTAATTCTGCCACCTTCCACGAAAGTGATGGCCTTTCTACTTGTGTTCCTGGATTGTTTTGCGAGGACGCCGAGCACCGGCTCAAGCGGAGCCGGAAAGGACGTTGCTGGGCCGGAAGCAGGCGGAGCTGTGTGCCTTAGAAAGAAGACAGCCACTTCCGAAACGCCGGGAAAAGAACACCCGCCAGCCCAGAGACCCGAGCCGAGCCGACGAAAGCAACAACAACAACCACCACCATAGGGGGTGCCGGTAGGCTGTCCCATCCCCATATATACTGTGGCCCTAGTCAGGGAAAAATGGTGATTAGCACCAAAAATCTGTAAGCCGCTCAGAGACCCCTAGACAAGGGGGTTCGAGCGGGATATCAAGTTGAATGTATACCGGTTGGAATTGTCACCTATTCCGTTACAAATGCCGCGTCTGAACGCACCCAGTGTGACTTGGCTCAGCTCTGCCAAGTCTAAACCAACTGGATCTGGTTTACTGCAGCTGTCAGCTGTCAGATAGATCGTAGAGATCTTGGTGCTGATGCTTACACACCGACAGCCCAAACCTCCGGGCTATCTGGGCAAGGGGGCGCATGTAGATGTTGAACAACATCGGGGACAGCACTGCCCCCTGAGGCACCCCACACTCCAGAGGGTGCCTCCGGGACCGATGATCCCCTATCGTCACCCTTTGTCCCCGACCTTGAAGAAAAGAGGCAAGCCATTGAAGCGCTAGCCCGAATCCCCACGTCGGTGAGGCGGTGGCCCAGCAACTGGTGGTCGACCGTATCAAATGCGGCCGACAGATCAAGTAATAACAGTGCCGCCATGCCGCCTCGATCCAGATGCCTTCGGAGGTCATCACTAAGGGCGACCAACACCGTCTCCATCCCGTGACCCGGGCGAAAGCCAGACTGGAAAGGATCTAGGACTGAAGCATCCTCCAGAAAACCCTGTAGCTGTGTCACCACCGCCCTATCAATAAGTTTACCCAAATAGGGCAAATTGGACACCAGCTGATAGTTGGACAATTCGGCCGGGTCCAGTGATGTTTTTTTCAAAAGTGGGCAGACCATCGCTTTCTTGAGTGCCCTGGGGAACCGCCCCTCCGAAGGAACTTGTTGATAATCTCCTGCAGGGCACCTCGAAATCCCTCGTGACCTGCTTTAATGAGCCAGGAGGGGCACGGATCAAGGTCGCACGTGGTTGGATGCACAGATCCCCTCAGCTTGACCTAGCTCACAGGCTTGTTGTGAAGATAAAATAGGGAACAGAGAACCTTGAGCTCCATGGAAGTACGGCAGGATAAAAATGCATTCAACATATAAAATAGCAACAAAAAGAGATCAGTTAACAGGAGAAACACTGAGCCTGTTCCCTTGTCTAAAAGGACAAGTTGTTGTAATCCCCTCCTTCTAAGCTACCTTCTGCCTTGACCTAGACAGCTCAGGCTAGCCTGATCACACCAGATCTCAGACGCTAAGCAGAGTCAGACCTGGTTAGTACTTGGATGGGAGACCACCATGAAAGTCCAGGATTGCTATGCAGAGGCAGGCACTGGCAAACCACCGCTGAACGTCTCTTGCTTTGAAAATCCTGGGAAGGTCACCATAAGTTGGCTGTGACTGAACAGCAAAGCCACCTTTTGGTCTTTCAAGCTTCAGAAAACCAGGCACAGAAGCAATATCTCCCCAAGTTCACAGAGAAGCAGCAGTACAGCTGTACACCCCCTGTGGAAGACCCTGGGGGTGGGGAACTGAGACCTGGAATGATATCTAGTGACAGGGCCTATAGATAAAATAAACAATTTGAGCTAAGAAGTACCATTCAGTTGATCCAAGTTACCAAAATCCCATAAAACCAAACAAACCAAAACAGATTATTTTTGTTAATCAATAGCTTTTTACCTGTTTGTAGTAGAGAAGTGTCCAGTTTCTCATCACAGTCTGTTGTCTCTGCTAAATACAGATAAGACAAAAGATCATTATGTTTTCCTAAATACGGAAACAAACATTTATGCAATTAAGTGAAACAGTAATTTTTTTAAGATGGGAAAGGAAGCGGTGGAGATTTATGTGAACAACAAGCAAAAGAAATACACAACTCATAGATAATGGATTTTTTTCAATTTCATAGAAAGAATTGCCCTGTCAAATCAGCACAATGCCTGTCCAGACCAACATCCTCCTTCAACCAGCAGCAAATAACTTCTCAAAGGGTTACAAGCATTAGCCAAGATGATAGTTACACTAAGTTACAAACAACATAGCCCAAAGTTCATGAAGAGCTTTGTCCAAGGAGGGGCCTCAGCGTGGAACTAGTTCTGAGCACCAGTTTTGGAATACAGGAAGTAATAATAAAATGGGCCTCTAGGTACTACTGAGTGCCTCCAAAGTAGTCAGTTAGATCACAAACCTCTGCCTTGCTTCTCATCACCTTAATGTGTAGGAACAGGAGGCAGCCCCACCTCCCATGGTCTACTGGATTTGGAGCCAGTTTACTTTGTCATTGAGTCATAGAGAACCACTGACCAAGGATGCAGATTGCAATCTAAGGACACAACTGAGGAGCACAAAGCCAGCCAACCATGCCAGCCAGCCACCCCACATTGCTAATATCTGGGGTAGGCTTTACCTTTCCTTCAACTGCATCCTTGAATGCAGCACATTTGCTTTGTTCCACAGAATCTGATGGGATGTATTGACAAGTCCAATCCTTTTTGCATAGGTCGTAGACTGGGTTTCTTTTTAATGTCATGTTTATAAAAATTCTGATCCTTGGTCATGTTGGAGACCGACAAGAAATGAAAACTGGGAGCTGATTTTCACATATACAAAGCAGGCTAAGTTTAAAACAAAGATATAAGGACACTCATGTTACAACTTTATACTCATATTCTTGCTGCATTTCTGCCATTATGCAAATCAGGATTTCAGGATCCAGACAATAAAGTCAGTTATACCCCTCACCCGAGACGATGATTGTCTCTCCACTGAAGGAATTTTTAGAACTATCTAGTATTAATGACATAAACATCAACCATATCTTTTCTAGTGTCACTGACTACTGGAAATGTATGTACGTTTTCAAGTTTCACTGCATTTTTCATTAAGCAAAATAGAACAGACAATAATTCTATCAAATCCTAGTAAGGCCAAGCCATCCTTCCCCCTCCTGTGCTTGGTATATTGCTGCTTGCCCACCTACTCTTTGAGCCCTACGTAGATGGAATGGCATGGGAAGAAAGTCCTAGAAAAGGAGGTGGCGGCACTGCAGATCCAAAACTATAGAACCCCCCCGACCAGTTCTCTGTTCCTTGAACATGCCCGAAGAAGCTAACTGGCATATGCATATTTCATATATTTCACTGAAGAATAACAAAACCCTGAAAAGCAATGCTAATTTTATTGTTAAATTTACCAAATGCAAAACCGTCCCACCTACTCCAGGGTTTTGGATCCAGATCAATAACCAAAAGGAGGGGTGGGGGTTAAAAGTGAGACAATTTCCAGTTGTAAACAAGTCACATTAATGATGCTTGTAGCATCAATGAGTACTTGCAGTACTGATTTCAGAATCTAATCAACAAAATAGCTTTGAGGGGGAAAAATTTGATTTTCTCAGCCAGATATTTTCCTGTTGCAAATGCAAGTAGGAAGAGGGCCAAATAATCTTGAACCTGGATTGTATCTGTGATCAAATAAATCACCCAGCTATTTAATTGAAAAACACTGACAAGGCTAAAAAAGCCATTTTAAATACAAAACCAGTTCCTCCCTATGTATCTGCTGACAACTTTGAAACCGTTAAACCTTCTGAGCATTAATACAATATACTTATATGCAGGGCTCTAGTCGGGGGGGAGCTCTCAGGTACGGAGCTCCGGAAGAGAACCTCTAGGGGGCGGGGCGGTCACTTGGTGAAGCCCCGCCCCCTTCTTTACCCCGCCCTCTGTTTCGATCCTCATTCCGTTTGGGAATGAGGATGAAGCAGGAGGGTAAGTAGCCGGGCCTTCTGACACACTTCCGGTGATGTCAGGGGGTGTGGCCTTCTGTCACTTCCGGTGATGTCAGGGGGCGTGGCATATGCAAATAAGTTATGCTAATGAGTTATGCTAATGAGCTCCGGCAGCTCTTTTTCTACAACAAGACCCCTGCTTATATGGGCCTAAGTCCTAGATTTTAAAGTAGTATGTTGTGACGTACTGACCTCCAAAAAAGCAGGATGCTTAGTGCATCACATTCAGAATGCTGGGAGATTCAAGGGTTAGTGCCTCACTGTGAAGCACAGGTTGATTGACAGACTGCTGCCTGAGTGCGCCCCCCAGTTCTTTCTGATTGGTCAGAGCTAGCTGAGGAGAGCATTAAGAACAGCTGAGTGTGACCATTTATAAACCCAATCTGTAAAAGGTGACAAATTTAAGATAAAGACAAAGACAAAAAGCCATACTCAAAATAAGGAAAAAAGCAGAGGACAAAACCAAAACAATGGATTGCCACTATTCGGCTTGGAAGCAATTGTTATATTAATGATTTATTGTTTAATTTATATATCAACAATATCTCTACTGTCTCTGCCCAGGACTGTTACTCTCCATCCATTACTAGCGTTGAAGTTTCTATCCTACTTTTTGCTGGTAATGCAGTTCTCCTATCTAGAACAACATCAGGACTGTCCTCTCTGGGAAACTTCTGCCAGAGCACTGTGCAGGGGCACCCTATGCTGCCCACCGTTCTCAGCAGAGCAGTGTTCCTGGGAACTACATGGACCTGAGCCTCTCCTCAGACTCGCTGGATTTCTTCCAGTCATTCTTGGACTACAACTTGGGACCCCTTTATAATTCCTTGAAGGAGTAGGAGAGCCTTGACAACTTTTCAGCGCTCCAGCTACTGAATTTTCCCAGCATGCCCCAGGTGGGGGACCAGGGCACCTGCTTTTTAGAGTCTTTGATTGGCTTATTGGACTCTGTCCCAGAAACCTCGGTGCCTTTTACAGACAATCAGCTTTTAGAAGATGCCATGAAGTCATCACTAATAGAGAATGTAAAGGTTTAAACTGCTGTTACAATCAATTTTCTTACTGTTTGTACAAAAACTCTCTGCCTTTTCATGGCATTGGTTGGGGAGAGGGGCAAAGAGGAAAGACTGCTTTGCAAAACAATTCGAACTTTCCTGCATTTTGTATATGGGGATGGGGAGACCTTTGGAGACATATTCCTTGCAGGGCTCTTTTTGTAGCAGGAGCTCCTTTGCATATTAGGTGACACCCCCCCTAATGTAGCCAATCCTCCAAGAGCTTACAGAGCTCTTCTTACAGGGGCTATTGTAACCTTGTGGGTCATCCACAGAGCACCTTCTGCCACTGTTTATGGTGCTGGCAGGTAATTTCTCAAATTACTTTGGGATGTATATCTAAATATCTATATATTTATTGTGCAAATGATTTGCTTCAGAGCTAGCTCTCACTTAAATGGGAAGATGCTTACATAAAAAAGAACCCATTCGCTATTATATGCATAGCAATTTCCCCCCTTCCTATTAATGGCAAATTTCCCCAATTTTTAATAACTACAGAAACTTGAATTGAGTATGAAACCTCTATTTAAATTGCTAGTACCCGAGATGTATTATGTGTACAATCATATATTTTTTTGCATAATAAAAAAGGGAAAAAAGGACTGTCCTCTCTGATAGAGGTTTTTGTCTTTTATTGTCTGGAACAATGCTTGATGGTTAACTATCAAAAATCCAAGATCGTTGTTTTTGGTGAAAAATCTCATGTACACAAGTGGAAAATTCATGGCAATGATATTAAGGACGTCCCCTATTTTAAATACTTGGGGGTTTGGTTTGACCAAAAATTAACTTGGTCAGTGCAAGCTGCTCATCTTAATATTTGATACACCTGTAGCCAATCTTTTATCTGACGTTTCTTTTGTTCTTCTGGGGCTCAGCATATTCCAGACACCATCAAACTGTTTAACGCCAAGGTAGCAATGCAAAGTTTATATGGGGCTGGCATCTGGATTGACAAAATAGAGAAGTCCTTGGATTCAATTCTTCTTAAATTCCTACGTTCCATCTGCGGAATTCTGAACAGTGTAGTGGGGGTAGCCCTCTGAGCTGAATAATCTCTTGAAGCTTGGGTTTGGTTGAAGGCTTTTCCACTTAAAGTTAAAATTATACACTCCGACATCCAAGAGAGCTCTCTCAGTTTAGTCAAAGAAGATTCTTATGTTTCCCACTGGAATAAACTTGTCAAGCAATGACTACAGCTCCTCAATCTTTCCTTGAATGTAATTACTTTTCTGAGTCTAGATATCTTTTAATTTTTCCTTTGATCCAAAGTATAGATCATATGGAGACGTTACCTATTTTATTAGAAGATAACAGCAGACCTAGCACTCTTTTAGTGGTGAAATTTATATACATCTGTGATAGAGTTTTGCAGATGTTCAAAATGGGTCTAGCTTTTTCTGTACTTCAGTAATCTGCTTAGAACTAATAAACTGAAGCAGTATAAGGATGATAGATAGTATATGTAATGAATGTAATGTTCTTTTGAATGGGTGGTAAGTGTCAGAGGAACAAGGACTGAAAGAGGGAGAAGAGTGAGTAAGGTGATTGGTTGGTGACTGAGAGTGTGTGGGTGGAGCTAGGAGTTGTATGTGTGTGGAGAGAGAGAAGGCAGAGTGTTCAGTCCGGAGCTTGAAGCCAGAAGCTGTCAGTTGTGGTCAATCTACACAGAGTCTGAGAAGCAGTCTTCTAACTAGAATCATACAGAAGTGCTGTGAAAGACATTAAGGTTCTAAAGGAGGAAAAAATATACTTAAGGGGGCATATTAGAAAAAATCTAATATAGTCAGAGTATTTTAAGAAGGTGAGGGGAAAAGCTGACAGAGACCTAAGTAAAAGGGAAAGATTCTACTAAGCAACTTAACAAAACATCTTGTAACTAA